CGACATTGGGTGGCAATTTTCAACCGATGATTTTTTCTTTTGTGCATAAATCGAATAGTCAAATTATTTATGATATTCTGCAATTCGAATTCTTATTGGTGGGACGATGTAATTTTACCTACGGTCGAACCTTCGATAACGCCCACCTCTAAACGGCGTCCGTTTTTCGGGAACTTTATTCGAACAAACATGTGTACAAAATAAAAAATGGCCGTTGTTTGGAGGTTACGTTTCTGTCAGTAGCCGTCGTTGGCAAGTTCGACGTATTACCACCAATTTTTAAACGGAATCGTTTAATATTTTCTAATAAATATAAAAAACAAATTCCATTTTGCGCAATCAAAAACGCTCGGGAAAGAAGAATATCGAAATAAATGAAATTTTTTGACCAGGGAATCAATAAAGAAAATTCCACGAATTTATGAATTTTATAAATCAGATTATCGAAAGGAAAGAATTTCGATAAATCGATAATTACCTAAGTCCACCGAAAAGGAATTCTTATTGTAAATAGTCGTTTATAATAGGCCCAGATCTAACAACAATTAATTAATTAAATAGTTTATTAGCGATTATTTTTTTTTAAATTTAAATAACGCTTTCGCCTTTAATTTTCTTCTCTCGACGAAGAAAAGTTTAAACCGAAAGGTCGGACGTCTTACGACGTAGATAATTAATAATTACAAAGCAAATAAAGTCTTTACCGAATAATCACTAATTAAAAATTATTTTAATTCATTTAATAAATAAGTTTGCTTAATTAATTGTTTTATGCGTTTGTAATTAATGAATTATCTTTCAAAATTTGAATTTTTCGAAATAACCGAAATAACCATTTTTATGTACGGATTCTCGTTATTATTTCATGTTTATTGGGGGGAATAACTGCCACTGCGCTGATTTTTATCATCTGTTAGATTATATTTAAAAGCAAACAATTCGTACGGAAGAATTAGAAAATTATAGAATTAGTAGTTGAAGGCTTTGGCATTTTAATTCATTTCGTGTTTGTTTAGGCCAACCTAAGCTTTGTTTACCACATATCTATGTATATAAAATATTAATAAATAATATTTAAAAATATAACGAAACATATTTGCTATATAAGTATTATTGCTAGTTTTCAATTCATAATTGAATACGTCCGAAACTTCAATAATATATATATATATAAACGCTTGTAATATTTTGTATACATTTGAAATATTTAATTAATATTAACGGATATTCGTAAATAATTTTAAACGTGAAAAAGTCACGTGTTTAATATCTGACTAATCTAAATCTGTTTAATAGAAACTTTTTTTTATATTAATTGTGTCGCTAAAATATAGATGTAATACAGATAAAAAAAACCGAAGATAATAAACAGAAATGACATTACGACAATCGAATTTATATATGATTTTTCTGTCGATATTCGATTTAGAAGTCATCTTACTAACAATTTATATCAGCCTTTCTTTCATTTTTCTCTATAGCTTCCTACGTTAAAGATAATACCGTAATTTAATACAGTATATATACTTTTATAATAAATATAAACTAAGGTCGTAGGCCCGTATAATTTCAGAGTATGTCCATTAGAAAAAATGCTATCTTTTAAATTAATAGTGCATTAAAAAAATTGCAACATTCGCCTTTTTTTTAAGTTTACATTTCATAGCTTATTCCACATTTAGAAATTAAATATTAAATTATTTTGTACCATTAAAGATTACAGAATTAAAAAATTTTATTAGTGTTTATATAAATATACGTGTGTGTGTGTATGTTTGAAATATTTTAAATAACATGAAATATATAATTTGTAATTCAAGGTTTTGTACTACTTATACTTTAAAAACACCATTAAACTTTTAATAGTAAATTTCCTATTTATGTTGTACTGATATTTTATCCCGGAAATGGATATTTTCGGAATAAACGAGATAGAATTAAAATTTTGGCACTTGCACAACCTGGCATATGATGACAATAAAAAAATTAAATTTTAAATNTATATATATATATATATTTAAAGGCAATTTTTACGCCAAGAAAAGAATTGCCGAAATATTTAGAAAAATAGATTCGAAGGAAATCTTGTGGAAATCCATAATGCGGAGCGTAAGAGGAGGAACAATGTATTTGAAAAGTAGAACAAGTGGAAAATAAACTAGCGAGACAGAATCGACTGTGTATCAAAACAGAAGAGTTATTAAATTAGCGCCACGGTCGGCGGTGCCGTATATAAATCACGGTTTAAATAGCAGTCCGCGGGCCGGAAGAAATTCTTTAAAGCCGATCGGTCGTCACCCCCACCGACAAGAAACCAATAAAATGGACACATCGTCGAAGCATTTCATCTCGAGACAATAGCGAGATTTCCAATATCGCCGGGAAATGCCCGCATCGATTGGAAATCCGGATAAATCTATCCCTTTGCCTTCTGGTTCGATGGTAATGATGCCCAAAGAAATCGACGATCTCCGCACTCTAAAACAATCGTTACCGTTATCTTCCCAGTTAAACACGCATTCTCGCGCTTCCTATCGAAATTTGACCGCTTCCGTCGCTTCCTCTTACTTCCGATTACGCCATTTCCTGTTGGTTAATAAAGAAATAATCGCATTTGCGGCAATTACGACCCGACCCGTCCGATAAGGCGACCTTATTAAGTTAACCCTTTGTAAATTTATTATCCGCCCGTTATTAGTCCGGAAAATTGCGTGTTTCGTGGCAATTAATCCCAATGTCCTCTCGCAAATAGCTCATTTGTCTATCGGTTCTTTAATTAAAGGATGCTTTTTCGACGTGGTTATAACTCAGAGGCGAATTAAGACGAATTACTTTGTCCTGGCCGGTAATTTTAATGCCTAGGTAAACGGAAATATTGTCGACACTCGCATGGTCGAGCCAATCGGCAGAAGTAACGACGGCCGGCGGCTATAATTTTCTTATTAGGCTTTCCGTAAAGTTTTAGATTAACTCGTTAAATTTAAATATTAAAAATTTCGTTTCGATAGGATTTCGGAAGAGAAAATAAGACGAGCGAAAATGCCTGTATAATAGAAGAATGGAGAGAGGAAACTAGTTATTTAACGAAAGAAAATATGTTTAAGCTCCGGGAAATAATTGAATCGAAGATCAAATATCCGAAATTTCGCAAATAATTCTTTGGAATTCGATTAAAATGTGTCGAACATTATCCCTAGAGTTCTAATGGGAAATCACGCGTGTCTCACTCGTATAGATCGATGTTTGGCAACGGAACGTCGTAAGAAGGATGCGAAAATGAAATAATCTTTATCAACTTTTTACGAAAATTATCTGGCTTTAAATTGTAAATATTGCAAAATTTCTAAATTAATTTCTTTATAAACCATCCTCCATTCACTTAAAACCATCACTTAAATTTTTATCGAACACCGATAAGAATTTAAGTGATAATCGTTTTTCATTTATTTAAATTAATTAACATCCGGGTTTCTATAGCAGCGCGCTCGAATGTAGATCACACCTGTGAATTGTTCCAGGCGGAATATTTATTATTAAAGTTTAAAAAATCCGGCCGATATTTTCCGGAATATCTTTTCAAGGTCGCTTTCTGTTGCCGTAGCCGCGTTACTTTCATTGATTTGGCAATCAACGCGACCGACATACGAGGCAGAAAATTAATTAAAACATCGAAGTATAACAAAAAGGTAAAAAATAATAATTTCTTCCACTTCGTTCGTATCTGTTTCTAATTTAGGAATTCTTATTTAAGGAAAAAAAATGCAATTCAATTTACAAAACCGCATCACAATAGTTACAACCGTAATTGAAAGTGTTTTATATCTTTTAAATTAGCATTTAAAAAAGACGTAGCTATTTGTTAAAAAAATTTAATGATAAAAGTTTAAATAATTAAAATTATTACAGGAATTGTTTATGGGGTTAAATAAGTTTAATAAATAAACGAAATTTAAAAAAAAATGAATTTCAACGAATAATTGCCAAACGCGTTAAAAAGTGTTTCAGTAGGTATCTAACGACGAATTATTTATATAAATTTACTATGGGATTACCAAAATAAATAAATAATAAGAAATTCCGTCGAATAACTTCTCAAACTGCCAAATACACCGGCTTTTTGCGCGCGGAAAAGAAGCGCTACCGAGACGTTTAACGCACAAAAGATAATTTATAAATATATTTTGGAGTACATACAACAATACCAGACTATTTTAGGAAGAGAAATAAGAGCCTTTTTACAATGAAGGCAGTGACCCCGGGGCATCGAACGACGGAATAAGCCGACGGGTAGAGGATGCATTAACACTTTGACACCGGTCCGACCACTTTCCCACCTGTCCGTTGACTCACGAAGTGACTCAATCTCTGGCGAGTTCTGTCCGTTCCGAAAACGAACCGCCGCATTTCCCAGAGAAAGGACGATTTTTAATGTCAATGTCACGCTCGGTAAATCGCCGGGGGAAGAAAAGAATGGCGGTTCCATTCCGCTGGAAAAACACATTAACGTTTTGTTTCAATCCGTGTGGTGTTTACGATAAAGAAACGCACGGTCGAATTAGAACTAAGCGCGCTTCCTTCCTCTACTCTACGCGTTTGCGTATAGGGAGAAATATATACAGTCGACCCCACTATAACGCTGTTGATTATTCCGTTTTATATGAATTCCATGATGTACGAGTCACTTAGATTTTACAAATACGTGAGCCGGTTCACAGCCCGACACACGTATTTGTAAAATCTAAGTTACTCGTACATCATGGAATTCATATAAAACGGAATAATCAACAGCGTTACAGGGGTCGACTGTATATATATACATATACACACACACATATATATATATATATATACACATATATATATCGATAAGCAAAGCCATTTATAAATAGAAGCCATTCGAAAATAGAATGCGAAGTAATTTATCAAGAAAATACGAAAAACGTCTCGATACTTTAAACCGGTTAAATATGATGGCTAATCGATAATAATTTATGGGACCGTTTATGAACTTTTATTGTCGTATTCGTCCGGCAGGTGGCGGGAGCGTGTCGAAAAGCCGGGCCACGTGACCGGCGGGGAGGTAGACGAGCACCACGGACGACGCGAGTAACAAGGCGAACATGTCAGCCGACAATGTCGACAGACGTAACCCGGCCGTTCGGCCCTGAAATCGTCATCCCGTAGCATAAAGGTATGTAGGCCGGAGACCACCGCGCTGGCCCCACGCATTCTTCTTCTACAAAAAAATTCTCCAGGCGCCACACCGTGCGAAGAAAATTAATTGAGTGTAAATTAGTTTTACTTTGCCAAAAGTACATTGGGAGGATTTGTATCCGCGGCATGGAAACCGGCTTCCACCTCTCCTGTATAAGCGCGTTGCCGGGACGAGATTTGCCTCTTCCGAGTATCAATGGAAGGAGAGCGGAGTGGGAAAAGCGCGTTAATCTCCCGGGTTATTCGCCAACCGTAAAGGGAGAGCGGGCCCGATAGTGCCTTCGCTTTAGCCGCCTCCTTTCTTCGGCTTCATACTTTTAACACAACCCCTAAATTACAGTATTCAATATTGCTCTTAACTTCCGGAGCCCAAGTTACCATTAGCGGGACCCCGAGTTAAAATTGGAGACAAGGGAAAGTTTCCCTACCGTGCCACGTCGTCCTTCCGTAACGCCTTACATTTTCTGACTTAGTATATATTATATGCGTAATAATATATGGAATTTATCGCTCTTTTGATTTGTTAATACCGTGGCACGGAAAATCGATTACGAGAATTTTACACCGCATACCACTTTTTAATACCGCCGGGTTAGGGAGGGAAATCGATAAATTCGAAGACGGTGATTTATGATTAATATGGGACTTAGTCGTAAAATACCTTAAACCCAGAAACGACAGGCTTAAATTACGTTTTAACCGGTGCGGTTTATCCATGCCACCTGTATACGACGATGACGTCAATAATTTCCAATATTTTACCACTCCGTTACAAATGGACGTAACAAACTTTTAAAATCGGCGGCAAAATCCTGCCGGTGGCGCTTATTTATAAAAGTCGACACGTTAATTTGTCGGGTTAAAAATTCCACAAGTATCCTGGATAATGGAAATTTACTGTACCTCCCGACGCTAAAAAATCCGATGGACCAAAGCGCAATAAATTAGTAGAAGCGCAAAGCTTCCTTCTATAAATAATCGTCTTCGGTAAATAACCGGCGCGGTTAGTCCCGTAATAACGTCGGTCGCGTCGCTTTTCCGAGTTAACTCGACGTGGCTAAAAGAAACCCTTCAATTGTATTGTGTACTGGAAATAACTACGTCGTTTCACTTCCGCCAGCATCTCCTCCCCTTTTACTTCCCGACCGTTGCCGTCTTTAGACCACCGCCGAAAATGGATTGGCCCGATACGTTTCTTCGTTCCTGTTTAACTACACTACTACTTTTATTACGGCCTTTTTAATTATCTCGTATCCGTAGTCTTAAAACTTTGATTTTACTCGATCTTCTTCCTGGCCCCGGAAACCCGCGAAATCGTAATAGACTCGATCCGTAACGCGCGCGTAATTACAAAGTTAAATATTTAAATTAACACTTCTCGCTAAGGGGTGTTCTCTATTTTTCTTAAAAAGTCTAGAAAATTTCCTTATACGGAAACGAATTCGTAGGCGTGGCGCGGGCCGGGAATAACGGACTTAAACAGTTTCCAGACGAATTTGCCGGTTTTTAACCAAGACGGACGATTAAATCGCCGATATTTACGGTTTTATTATAGTTTGAAAGATGAAAAATGACGTAGAAAACGATAGCTAACCGTAAATGCATAATTTAGTGGATACGTAACGTCGCTATGGCTTGTGTAACGCGCGACTACTCTATAACGACATCGATTCGCCGGCATTTATTCATTCATTTTTTTATAAATAAATAAATAAGATACACCGTTACGGGCACAATTTAATAATGCACCCTATATATACCGGTAATGCGATTTAACGAATTTATAAAAACTATACATTTAAATTTGCGCTATTTTCGTAATATTAAATTTAAAAAAAATTTAACAATCTTTAAATTAAGTAATTTTCTGTAAAAATCTAAAGAAAAATTTAATAACCGTATTTAATTATTACATTAAAAAAAACATAAAATTAGATAAAATTATATTTGCTAAAATAATTTGACGAAAAAATTCTAACTGGTTTTAACGGAAAGTCGAAAAAAAAAATAAACTAAATTGTTATTCATTTTCGGTAAATTTAGTTTATTCCGGAATAAACCTTTAAACGAAATTTTTTAATGGAAACTCTTCTCGATATAACGTATTTTAACGTGGCTTTGTTTTACATGCTGTACGGGTGGGTGTATTAAAGATAGGACCATCTTATCTGGCATTATCGACGCTTTGTGAAAGCTTTAGATGAGATAGTTCTCTGGCAGTACCCGGGCAATCAGGTCAGTTTCGTTTTAACATTAACCTACTTATATAAATGTTTCGTCGAGGATATTACGGCAGAAATTTCTTCCTTTTTTTTTTTCCTTTTATTAATTTGTATGGAAACCGAATACAGTCGAGCTTTTTCCCATTTGTGATTTAAAAGTTCCGTGTATTATTACCGCGATAATCGTATTGCCGGGAAGGAATACGATCGTCTTATTTCTCTGGTGTAGATGAGATTTTATGATAATTGATCTCGTTAAACCGACTTCGAAAATGTATTTCAAATAACCTTTAAAAATCCACTCTCAACGCCAGTTATGGTTATTATTATTATTGTCATATAAACATTTATTTTTTAAAAGTATCTTCAATAGTCTTCAGGAATATTATATTGATTTATAGTACTTTACTTATACGGGTAATTCGAAAGTCGGTTAACCGAAATATTTCGCTTGTTAACTGACTTTTGGGCCCGTGTTTGTGTGTGTGTTAAAATGAATGGCTTTTCTGCAAATAAGTGTATTATGTGTAGAAAATATAATTTTTAATAATTTTTCCCAACTGGAATAAAATTTTTTAAATAAAATATTTAATTTATGACGGTTTGGATAGAATCAAATTAAACACGAGATTTTAACGATTTATTTTAAAACTCTTCGAACGTAATTTATTTTTTATTACGTTCTAAATGATGATAACGAAATATTTTACGTTGCGCGGAAAAGTATATATTTTTAATCGGACTAGGGCGATTTCGTTATTATTAAATAATAAAGTAAAAATGGGAATAATTTAAAACTATATAAAGTTATGGAATTTTATTCCGCACGTAACGCAGATAGGTTTATATGGAATTAAATCTGCCTAATCTTATTACCTATCAATACTTCCCTTTTAACGTTCGCACATGTATCGAGTTAAGGCTATAGATCAAAATATTAAATTCGAATTCAAAATAATCCCTACATAATAATTTTCCATTTAAGTATCCAATTTTATTAATAATTTAACGAAATGTACTTTCGTCGACTCTGCATTTTTTTCCCGGGCCGGTTGCGGGTTCGGCTAGGCCCGCGGGGGCCCGACTCATCCGGTACAAAGCTTTGGTGAAAAATTCTCGGTATGTGGCCGGGCCGTCCGATTCCAAAGTTTATTTTCCATTAGGAAAATTCCGTAAAGGCATTTTTAAGATGGAATACATTCCGATACTACTTATATTTGCATTTTTTATAGACCGACTTATACTGAAAACGTATAAAATTACAATATTTGCGTTGGGACGAGATTTCGAAACGGCGATTTAATATTTTATGGGATGAGCCTACGTAACACCGGCTACTAAAATATTTTATCTAAGACAATCATTTACATTGCATTACTCTGTTGACTTTAATCTCGAATTATCGTCTCATCCTTTTTAATACTAATAAAATTATATTGCGCTAAAACGACCCGAAAGTGATGTATATATTAATTTACGCTATATTTTAGTTATATATTTATATGACTTTTATACCGTTCTTTATTATAAAATAAAAGTACGACTTTACCGTTACGCAATAAATAAATAAATATATATTTTTAAAGTGTTTTCTAATTTTATTTCATTTAAAACAATAAAAAAGAAATTGATAGAAAATTTAATACTTTTTGCCTATTATATTATATATAAGTATGATATAGAGTAAATTAAATATGGTGATAATGGAGATTGAACGATAATTAATTAATTGTACTGTACAAAGTCCAGATGTATTACACAAGACCTATTCTCGAAATGCAGTGTTATAATCTAAAACGAAGGTTTTCATTAATCTGCAGATAAGATAGATAAACTTATTACTCCCACCCGGATGGGAGGAGTTTTGATTCGTAACCCATTATTTTCCAATCATAGAATAATAAATGGTTATTTAAGCTTAAGTTTCTTCTTTGATTATTGGAAATGTTTCTTTGGTTTAAGAATTGAAATAAATGTTAATTAAATATCTCTTAATTGAATTAGGAACCAAATTTATTTTACATGCGAATTATTAAAGTATTAAAAATTTTGAAAATTATTTAACCCCAAAGTATAATAAATTTCCTTTTTTCCTGTTATGCCGGACGTGCACTAGTATTATTATTTTGGCATTTCCGATGATTCAAATAGGATGACCCCACGTTCTATCCTTTTTTTTTGTTTTTTGTGGAGTTCGCGTACTTAATTTTGTATTTATTTGGTCAAGAATAAAAATATAAAATATCCTTATGCACTGGCACTAGAGAAATTCACTTTTGGTCACGGTTATTATTTAAACTCTTCAATTTCCAAAATTTTTAATATTTTATTTTATAAATGGAAGTTTTCTATAGTAAGATGTATCGAATAAAAAAATTTACGAAAAGCTGAATATAAATGAATATAATTTTAATATTTTTTATATAGGTTACAAATGATAGAAACCATGTTATATTTTATTACCAATTGAAAATATTAGAGAAAAACTTTTGCTATTATAATTTACAGTCGATCCCCCTATAAGATCATTGATTTTTCCGTTTTATCTGAATTACATGTTGTACGAGTCACTTAGATTTTACAAATACGTGTGCCGGGCTGTGAACGGCTCACATATTTGTAAAATCTAAGTGACTCGTACAACATGTAATTCAGATAAAACGGAAAAATCAATGATCTTATAGGGGGGTCGACTGTAAA